ATTTTAGTTTCCCCTCGTATTTAAAGCAGTTTTTTGTTCCATTTACCTCCTCATATTCTCTTCATCATATCCAACAGAATTATTTTTTCTTCCCAGAATTTCATCTGAAAGTGGCCGTAGGTCCTTTCAATAAAAAGATACTTCCAACTGGAACAATCCCCCTTCTTCTTTTAGATCAGGGATGTCAAACTCAATTCCTAGAGGGGCCGCAGCCCTGCACAGTTTAGTTCCAACCCTGCTCCAACACACTTACCTGTAGGTTTCAAACAAGCCTGAATGACTCAATTAGTTTGATCAGGTGTGTTTAATTAGGGTTGGAACTAAACTTTGCAAGACTGCGGCCCTCCAGCAATTGAGTTTGACATCCCTCTTTTAGATCAATTAAGTCATTTATTGTTTTCAGGGCTAATTTATTTTCTTTTTTGGAAACAACTTGCGGATGTTATTAATATTGGTTCCACTTGAAATGTTTATTATTTTTTTGTATATCAAATTGTTTGTATTTTGATTATATGTTTTGTTTATTTAGGCTTTAGACTGTGGGATATGTTTCAGGTGAAGTGTGCTGCTTGTTTGTTTGTTATGATGTGAAGTACTCTGTTTAATTTATGAACTTCTTAGGGACCCCCTCCAAAAAGAGATGGTTCAAGGTTCAAGTTGAAATTACTTCAACTTAAATGAAGTAAATTCACAGTAATCATATAGATTTTTATTTTATTTTATTTATTTTTCTATTTTTTTACTCAAGTGGTTTGTAGCAATCAGTTTCCTCAAATGGTTTGAGTTGCCTTAAGTTATTGGGTTTTACAGTACTCAGTCTGTGATTGGAGCTTTATTGCAGTGATTGATATATTTCTTGCTTGTTATATGTTTGACAACAATTCGTATAGCTCTAACTGATGCAGTATGTACACTGAAAAACCCAAAAAGTTAAGGTAACTCAAACCATTTGAGGAAACCAATTGCAGCAATTGCCTCAAAGGTTACTTAATTTATTGGGTTTTACTGTGCTCGATTTGCTTCGTTTACTCAAAGTACTTTTGTACTTTCAAAGTACATACTACATCAGTTAGAGCTATAAGAATTGTTGTCAAACATATAACAAGCAAGAAATATATCAATCTGCAATAAAGCTCCAATCACAGACTCTAAAGGATTGGTCTCAAACACAATTCCTGGAGGGCCACAGCTCTGTTTAGCTCCAACCGCCTACAGCTCACGCATGCTTAATAGTCTCTAGTAGTCTTGAACACCTTGATTAGTTGGATCAGCTGTGTTTGATAAGGGTTGAAGCAAATCTGCAGAGCTGCTGCCCTCCAGGAATCCAGTTTGAGACCCATGCCCTAAAATATTTGCTTTGTTTTGTTATTGGCAATAACTCTACAAAAGCTAAAGTTATCGTGCAAATCCATAAAACACGGCCCACTGAGACCCCCGTGACTTATTTAAAAGTGCTTTATTTCGTGTAAGTTCCAGCGCATGTCCAAACATAAACACGCACAGATGCATTTCCGCATAATTCCTTAAATAAATTTCCAGAGCAAGCAGCAGCAACAACTGCCAATGAGATTTTCAACACAAGTAATTATGTTTTCGCATGTTTTTCCCTCCCCTCCTTCCTAAAAAAAATCTTTATAACTAAGCGATTCAAAAGCAATTTTCTCTGTGGGAAGAGAATGTAATTTGCTATTCAGTGACATTCTGATGTGTAAAAAACCAGGAGCCGGTGGTAAAAGGTATCTCTAAAGTCTGTGTACAGTGCATTAATGGGCATAACCGGGGGAGGAGGGGAGAGATGTCAGGGAGGGCAGCATTTAATGACTCCAGAATAATCCCTCTCTCATTAGTGAAGGCTCTGAGGATCCACCGGGGCTTGAACTGGTAGAGCGTGGCATGCCGCTACAGTCTTTATCTTCATATTAAACCATTTGCATAACATTACAGCCGCTGGAGAGACTCCCTTAACAAGGCCAGTTGCTCTTCGTTTTAAAAGGGGACAGTGGGTGTCTCGGCCAATCTATTCAGCGGTAAGTGGAACTACTGGCGGTGCAAATGCAGCAGGAGGTGAGAGGGATCAGGACGCAGCATTTGGAAGTGTGTTTATCATACGCTTGCTCATGCATCGGGCTCAGTTTGGGGTCCTTCCAAAAACCAATCCATATACACGCTAGCTCTAGCGCCTATGCTGAATTTCCAGGATTTGCAGACCGCCCTCCATCCTGTGATTGCGAATTGCACTGAACAGGCTGATTTCAGGTCCATCAACATGTAGTTTGTCTGGGGGGCTGGGAGATGAACATCAAGGCTACATTGTAGAAAATACTCTCGCTCATCTGTGCACCTATCATGAGCCATTTTTGTCACTCTATTGCCTGTGGAAGAACGCAGCTTACTTTAGGGAGAGAGAGAGAGGCGTGACAAAATTAAAATCAGTCATTTTATCCCTGAGGAGCAGATCAATTTCCGCAGACTGGGTCGAGATATTTTCCGGCATTAGTCTTTCTCGACTTGAGCACAGCACCTAAACGGCCTGCCAGCGGGAGTCTCGGCACAGCTGCACGCTTCACTAGAGAACAGTTACTTCTGCCGCTCTGAGTTTATTTGCGCCTCACCATGAGAATTGCCATAATTTACCCCACCAACACATCACCTCCCCGAAAGATGAGAGAAAGGGAATAGTGTGTGGAATGAAAGAGGCAAATTGATTTGACGTGATATTGTTTTCTGTTTTTTATTACGCCTATTCATTTTCTCAGAATGAAATGCACAATTGGACCGGTGCCTGAGTTCAGTGTCATACTGTGGAACCTTTAGACACAAGCCTACATAATGGCTCGGCCTGCTGGCTATGTTTAAATTATGGAAACAACTACAGCATCTAAACGGCACTGGCCTACAAATTGCCTTTGTATCTTTTTAGGCAATCAGACTCCTCTGAGGTATAAAAATTAAGAACTTAGAGGACAAAAAGACTATTTTGGGGATCAAAGTATTTTTACTTTCATTTGGTATCATCTGATTGGATGATAACAGAAGTCATATGCATAAGCACGGTTCCTACATTTCATTTATGGACCAAAGGGGTTTTCTGAAGAAACAAAACAAGGTGTTATGCAGCCTATTTTTATTTTTTCTGAGAACAAAATACCCTCACCTGCCACTTTATTAGGTGCAGCTGTCCAACTGCTCGTTAATGCAAATTTTGTATTTAGCCAATCACATCGCTGCATCTCAATGCATTTCAGGCATATAGACATGGTCAAGACGATTGGCTGAAGTTCAAACAAACCATCAGAATGGGGAAGAAAGGTGATTTAAGTGACTTTGAACGTGGCATGGTTGTTGGTGCCAGACGGGCTGGTCTGAGAATTTCAGAAACTGCTGATCTACTGGGATTATCATGCACAACCATTTCTAGAGTTTACAGAGAATGGTCTGCAACATGTCGAACGTTGAGGCAGATGGGCTACAGCAGCAGAAGACCACACCGGATCCCACTCCTGTTAGCTAAGAACAGGAAACTGAGGCTACAGTTGGCACATGCTCACAATGGACAATAGAAGATTGGAAAAACATTGCCTGGTCTGATGAGTCTCGATTTCTGCTGCGACACTAAGATAGGAGGGTCAGAATTAAGCATCAACAACATGAAACCATAGATCCATCCTGTCTTGTATCAACAGTTCAGGCTGGTGGTGTAATGGTATGGGGGATATTTTTTTGCACACTTTGGGCCCATTAGTACCAATTCAGCATTATGTCAACTCCACAGTCTATCTGAGTATTGTTGCTGACAATGTCCATCCCTTTATGATCACAATGTACTCATCTTCTGATGGCTACTTCCAGCAGAATAATGTGCCATGTCATGAAGTGTGAATCATCTCAGACTGGTTTCTTGAACATGACAATGAGTTCACTGTACTCTAATGGCCTCCACAGTCACCATATCTCAATCCGATAGAGCACCTTTGGGATGTGGTGGAACAGGAGACTCGCATCATGGATGTGCAGCTGACAAATCTGCAGCAACTGCATGATGCTATCATGTCAATATGGACCAAAACCTCTGAGGAATATTTCCAGTACCTTGTTGAATCTATGCCACGAAGGATTAAGGCAGTTCTGAAGGCAAGAGGTAACAGTTACCTAGTAAGGTGTATCTTATTAAGTGGCAGGTTAGTTTAATTACTGTTATACATTTTCATTATTAATGTTTTATAAAGTTTTACATTACTAAAAAACCTTGTGACGTATTAGGAATCATACAATAGGAAACATTTAACAACGAATAAAAAAATAATCTATGTAAGGATCACAATGCAGCCCCAGAATACAAATAATTGTAAATGTGTAAATATTTGTAGTGTAATTTTTTATTTATTAAGTAAATGTCACATTTTATCACTTTTGTTTCATGTAATAAGGAAAATAAATTTGGTATTTAACATCCATAACATCCAAAAAAATAAATAAATAAATGTTTTCATTTACAAGTTACAATAGCCTTCATATGAATATAATAAATGACCAATGTCATGTTTAACCAAATGCACGGTTGTGACTGCTTGCTCATGCACTTCCTGGATACACAAGCCCCAAAAATAAATGTGTGCATGATTGTAGGCCATTTTGCACAGAGTAAATGAGATTGACATATTTTAATCCTTTGATTTGTGTATACGTATCGAATGATTATCAATAAGCTTGGAATTCGATTAAAACGGGGACTTGTCCTCCAAACAAAATTCAACAACACTGGTCTCCCTGATTGACATTGGCCTACGTGCATGTGGTGAAGTCCTGAGAAGTGGACTTTACGATCTTACCTCAACTGACATTTGCTGTAGTTGTGCCAGGGGTCATTCTTTGCACGAACTCTCACTCCTCCCCTCCAAAATGTTGCCCCAATCTCTGGTTGCGTCACGAGTCGCGTTTGAGTTAATTCAAACCATATTGAGAAAAACGTAAATACGACCCAAGTTCCTCCCCCGGTCTTGTGCAGAGAGTGGTTTCTGGGGAGTGAAGATCCTCTGGTACTTTGCGAAAAGTCGCAACTCATTTTGAATAGTTTAATTTTTACAAGTACATAATTCAATAACGCGCAATGGCTGGGCTGAAGGTAAGCGCACTTTGAACTATGTACTAGTGCTTGTCTAAAGTAAAAATGATCAACTAAATACGTAGTCTGTGTGACTATTACAATGCAGCCTGTTTTCATTTTTGCCTTTTTAAAATGCTGTCCTCGGATACTCTTTTTCAGACATTGTGTTTGTTCTCTTTATACAGACAGACTTCATAAAACAACCTAACAATGTTTTGGAATTATGCTGCACACTTCACCCGTGCATCCTTATTACAGAAATAGTGATTCGAATCTCTTTTGAGTCGGATCTTTGGAATGAATCAGAATCGTTTGACATAACTATTAGTAGCATTAGACAAGATTAAATAAAAGCATAACAAGGTTTTTAAGTAAGGTATTCCTTTACTCCATATGAAGCAACCTGCATTTTTCAGAAGTTTTTGAGATGACAGATGAATCCGATTTTACATGAATTCCATCGTGTTTACCAGAGAAAAAAACAAAAAGAAAATTGTGATAGATTTTTCATTTTTGGGTGAACTATCCTTTTAAATCAAATACCACAATCAATACAACTTTTTAAAAAGCAAATTATATACAATGTTGCAGGCACAACGCTCAATTTGTTCTATGAACTAATTTATTTGAGGATTATTCAAAAGAACCGACTCGTGGAGGTGAGTAGAACTCCGCATCGTTTCATGAGGAGGATCTGAGGGGCGTTTCAGTCTGACCAATCAGATAACTGGAATCTGCAGCTGCCCAGATGAGGTTAATCTCGGCTCCGCTGTAAATATGCAGGATACATATAAAACTTTTGCAAGTTTATGATCGCTTTTCCAAACCATTAGACTACTCGTTTTATAAAACAAAGTCCTAATCTGGCATAAGGAATTTAACATAATTATGGAGCACTCTTTTAGATGGTATTAGATAAACGCAAACAAATGGCCAAAATTTGTTGTCAGGTGTTTTTCAGCCGATTTTTTTCCTATGAACTATTATGAATTCTTTGTTACGTTTAACCCCTCGAGAGGATGTGTTTTCAATTAGCCCATGCAATGTTTGAGGTTTTATGAGCTGCTCTGGGCATTGCTTATGCAACATGACTAAGCATATCTGTGTTGTAGCTGAAGGTGGAGATGCTTGGATGGTGCTCCACAGCTTGTGTGTGTTGGTTTTCTTATCCTGTATGTTTTGAAAACAAAGTGAATTCACTCGTCCAGTAGTAACACTGTTGAATTACTGTGTTTTAGTACATGAGTGGCTTTGGCAATGAATTTTCCTCTGAAGACCCTCGCTGTCCAGGATCTCTACCTGAGGGACAGGTAGTGCCAAAACTTCACCTTCACCGTCTTCTTCCTGACCAATTAACAAGACAAACCAAATGCTCAGTTTACATTATTGTCTTTCAGAACAATCCCCAAGTGTGTCCATATGGCTTATATGCTGAGCAACTCTCTGGCTCTGCCTTCACTTGCCCACGCTCAAGCAATAAGAGAAGGTATATGTTTGTAATAGAGTGGTCAAACATTAAACTTTATTTTACTACGGGGACTGGTTAATGCTTGATTCTGATTGGCTGACGAATATTTTAAAGAGGTTATTTTCAGATAAATGTACAGATAAAGTAGTTTCAGTCAATTCTTGACCACATTACAGTTCCATATTATGATATTATTGTCCAAAAACTAAACAAAAGACTTTGATTGAGATGTGGAAGAAACTAGAAGTAAATACAGCATGTGTTTATGCACAAATTCTTGTCTAATGTCCTACAACAGCATCAAACACCACATTTTAACAGTGTCTTTAGCTGTGGTAACTTCAGTATAAGCAGAATAATGACTTCACCCTGTTGGATTATTAGAAGATAATGCACACCCATGAGGAAATTATTTCTCCCTTGTAAATACTGAAATGTGTTTGTGTTCATAGCTGGCTATACCGCATTCTGCCCTCTGTGCGCCACAAGCCTTTCACTCGGATGAGCTGTGGAGATCTGACCGAGAACTGGAATGAAGTAGAGCCTGATCCCAACCAGCTCAGATGGAAGCCATTTAACATCCCCAAATCTTCAGAGAAAAAAGTGGATTTCGTATCGGTAAAGATGTCATAAATATGTGGATCTTTTTACATTCATATTGAACTATTTCTCAGTCTCAGAGATGCGTATTTGATATTTTCAGGGTCTACATACAGTATGTGGAGCTGGAGATTCGAAATCCCGTAATGGAATCGCCATCCACATGTACTCCTGCAACACTTCCATGACTGACAAGTCGGTTTGAATCAGATTTAATTTACTAATCAATATATAATAAATTCTCAGTTGAATTTTTTTCTTCCCAGCAAATAATTTTGTGTTTAATAGATGTCTAATAGACATCTAAATGTAGACAGCTTAACTAAACTTGGGCTGTCAGTGAAAATCTATTAGACATCTAAGAATAGCCCAAAACTAGACTAGTCATCAAATAGACAGACACAGTAAGACAGACTTTATATGTGTAGTCATTCATTTCTGTTTATTTGATGACTAGTCTAGTTTTGGCCTATTTTTAGAAGTCTACTAGATTTTCCCAATAGTATCTGGATGCAGCCTTTATGATACAAGATGAGATTGCATCGCTCAGAGATGCAATGTCAGACACAATCAATAAAGCTAGTGACATCACTGTGAGGGGTAGGGTTAGGGGTGGAATTAGGTGAGCGCATTAAAAAGCATTGGATGCAGCCAGACCCCTCTCAGATTTTCACTGACAGCCCACATTTAGCCTTGTTTTAGCCAAGATGACTATGTTTAGACGTCTATTAGACATCTTTTAAAAATGATTGCTGGGTTGTGAGTTGGTACATGAATTTTTATTTTTTACAGATGTTTCCAAAATGCAGATGGTGATTTTCTCATTGGTAAAATAAATTTGTTTTTCTTTCATAATTAATATCTGAAACAGATCAATTTTCAATGTTTCTAATCAACGCTGCAATCTGTGTTTCAGTGCCTCAACAAGGCGAAATCCTGATTACTACAGAATTTGGAAAGATGATGGTGGAGCCCAATGAGATTTGTGTCATTCAGGTGTCACAATCTAATATCTATAAAAAAAGTTAACATACAATAAAAGGGTGGTGGCTCAGTGGTTAGCACTGTCACCTCACAGCCAGAAGATTGCTGGTTTGAGTCCCAGCTTGGCCAGTTGGCATTTCTTTAAGGAGTTTCTTTTTGCATCGGTTTCCTCCAAGTACTCCGGTTGCCCCCACAGTCCAAAGACATGCGCCATAGGTGAATTGGGTGAACTAAATATCCTGTAGTGTGTGTGTGTGTGTGTGTGTGTGTGTGTGTGTGTGTGTGTGTGTGTGAATATGAGAGTGTGTATGGGTGTTTTCCAGTATTCACTTGCAGCTGGAAAGGCTGCTTAAAGCATATGTTGGAATAGTTGACGGTTCATTCCGCTGTGGCAACTCCTGGTAAATCAGGGATTAAGCCGAATGAAAATGAATGAATAAAAGCTATAATTAAGAAATAACTGTTTAGTTGATTCAAATAGAGTCAAATAATATAACATTTTACATAACCATTTTCTATTTGAATAGATTCGTAATATCATAATAAAAATACAATAAAAGGGACAACACTCAATTTGTAAAACAATTGTATTATTTATTTGGACAAAATCGATAGATTTCATGGCCTATAGTCAGTATTGTTTTACATTTTTTATTCTTTATAAAGACACTGTTTTGATTGTAAATTTTGCATTCAATATATATATATATATATATATATATATATATATATATATATATATATATATATATATATTAGTAATGTTGCCATGAATAAAGCCAATGATCCTGATATGGTATTAAAACAAAAATAATAGAATATATGAACAAATAAATATATGTAATAAAATGGGTTTCCTGCGAGTACTCAAGTTTCCCCCTCAGTCCAAAGACATGCGCTGTAGGTGAATTGAATAAACTAAATTGGCCGTAGTGTATGAGTGTGTGTGATTGTAAGAGTGTATGGGTGTTTACCAGTACTGGGTTGCAGCTGGAAGGTCATCCGCTACATAAAACATATGCTGAAATAGTTGGTGGTTCATTCCATTGTGGCGACGTCTGAAATAGAGACTAAGCCGAAGGAAAATTAATAAATAAAAGCTGTAATAAAAAAAAAAACTTTGTATTTGATTTAAATAGAGTAAAATAGTATAACATTTTACACAACCATTTTCTATTTTAATAATGATTTTATGTGGGGAGGTTTAACCTTTAGTTTAACCTTTAATGGATAGAATAGTGCAGAGAATTGACAAGAAATTATTGGGGATGGAGAGAGGGGAAGAGTTGGCAAAGGACATCGAGTCAGGAATCGAACTCGGGTTTCCTGAGCACCATAGTGCTATATGTCAGCGCACTTAACCGCTAGGCCAGGGGTGGCTAACCCTGTTCCTGGAGAGCCACCTTCCTGTAGATTTCAGTTGCTACCCATGTCAAACACACCTGAACCAATTAATTAGGACCTGAACACCACATGATAATTACAGGCAGGTGTGTTTGATATGGGTTGCAACTGAAATCTGCAGGAAGGTGGCTCTCCAGGAACAGGGTTAGCAACCCCTGCACTAGGCTATTGGCGCCGACAACCATTTTCTATTTTAATATATTTGTGATATCATAGTAACTAATAATAGCAAGAATTAATTAACTGCAAGCATCTTTTAAGTGAGGTTTATTCATAAACTAATTTTGAGAGGATCACATGCTCATCATTGCTTGCGGCTGGTCCCGCATTATCCAATTTATGATTCACCAATCAGACAATTCCTAAGTCACTATAAATACCCTTAGTTCTATATAACAGTCATCTTTGTTTTGAACAATCCCTTCTTCCACCCCTACTCCACCTCCTTTCCTAGATGGGTGGCACGGTGGCCCAGTGGTTAGCACTGTTGCCTCAAGCCAAGAACATCAATGATCCTAGTCCTTACCAAGCCAGCCAACGTTTCTGTGCGGAGTGTACACGTTCTCCCTGTGCTCACATGGGTTTTCACCAGGTTCCCCAGTTTCCTCCCACCGTCTCATAACATGCAATCTAAGTTAATTGACTAATCCAAATTAGCACCATAGACATGCACCTAGTAAGTAGTTATCTCTTAAAAGCAATCACTATCTGTTCATTAGATACTGCAGCAGGGGAGTTCTCGAGACTTACCTGAGCTCAAACTCCCCTCACCTTGCAAACGGGAAGGAGCCCCGGGCTCGAAGATCTTATGAGCTCAGGGCTCTCTCCCGGGACAGGATGCCAAACAAGCTTTATAATCAATCATCAGCTAAGTGTGAACTCTTGAAATTATATAATCTTTTGTCTTCTCAGCAAGGAATGCGTTTTAGTGTCGACGTGTTCGGAGAGACCCGAGGATACATTTTAGAGGTGTTTGGTGCTCATTTCGAGCTGCCTGACCTGGGTCCAATAGGTATGTACAACACTACGTTTTATAATGCATCCTAATAACACATTGCTTTCAAGAAAAGCCTATTCATTTACATCTACACCGCAGGGGCAAATGGACTGGCAAACCCCAGAGACTTCCAAACCCCCGTGGCTTGGTACGAGGACCGCACTATAGCCACCGGCTACACCATTGTCAACAAGTACCAGGGAAAGCTCTTCTCATGTCAACAGGTGCTGAGAAATTATCACAGCATTAATATCTCTCAATGCTAACATTGCCGACATCAATAAAGCACTGAATGTTTATGGATTAGGAAACAGCTCATGCAGGACCGTTCATTTTGGACTGAATCCGTCTTGTCGAGTGAATAATTGACTTGTTATGGTTGTCAGGAGTAAATTAAAGCAGGCTGTATCACTCATTGTAATGAAAAAACGCATCTAGAGCACATCCATACAGTAGCTGAGCAGAAAGGTCTCTCCATCTGTACGGTGCTCGCTTTCCTTCAAGGAGAAGCTACAGCCTTATCCTGTTGTTTTGTCCTCCAACTGAGTGCTAAAATTGCTTAAATTAGCTTATTATTTGCTTGACTGGGAAAATATGTTTGTGTTTTTGTGTGTATGAGTTTTTTTTTAATAGAGTCTGGTAGAGTTATCTCGAGAACTGTTATGCCTGTGAGATTACAAACCTCGGGGTCCCAGAAACCCCAGGGTGCACCGAGAACGTCTTTGTGCGACTGAATGTAACTGTAAAAACAGTCATGTTCTTGTTCGAGTTGCTTGTTGTGTGTACAGTTGTGACTGAGGTTTTATCTGGTGTGTGTTTGTACATGTGGGTGGGTTTGAAACAACGGGAGGCCGCGTGAGGGTCAGGACAGCAGGCAGTCTCTCCTGTAATGAATTATATTGATTTTGCTGGCAGCATTCAAAATGTGTCTCCTGCAACATTATCAAGCGAAAGGTGTATAAAATTGCGCTGTTTTTAACGAGGACTTCTCACTTCGCAACCTAGTATTTCGAGAACAAGAGTATATAGCGACTAAACAAAATGATGTGGCTTTATTGAGGATATTGATCGGATGTCTTAGTGTTTTGAGATTGACATTGCTATTGATTATATATTCGGCGCTTGCAGAAATTCATTATGTGGTTTGTCATTACAGTACACATGTTTTTGTCCTTTTAAATGTGCTCTAATAGGACTTCTCGCCATTTAACGTGGTGGCGTGGCACGGAAACTATGCACCGTACAAATACAATCTGGAGAACTTCATGGTCATCAACTGTGTGGCGTTTGATCACGCGGTGAGTAGTTTGTTTCAATTAATATCTTACAATCATAAGATTTATGCAGTTAATCAAATTAGCTGTCTTTATTTCTAGGATCCATCGATTTTTACCGTTTTGACAGCCAAGTCCACTCGGCCAGGGGTGGCCATTGCAGATTTTGTCATCTTTCCTCCTCGTTGGGGTGTGGCTGATCACACCTTTCGGCCTCCTTACTACCATAGTAAGTCTGCATGTGTTGACAACACATTTTTGCCAGTGTTGGGGGAAACCCGTTTGAAATAAGGGGTCCATTCTTCTTACTTCACCTAAATAATCTAGGATGATTTGGCAGATCCTGGATCATTTAATCTTGACAACTGATCTCTGGCTAATTTGGTTCTTCAAACAAGTTTACGAATCAGATTATGTCTGGATGAGAGCTGAGATCGCTACACGTGTTGATAAGGACAGATGTATTGATTCTTGAAATCATGATAAGCAGTGTAATGATTGGCTGATGGCACAGCAGGGTAATGACATCATCTGATTAATATTCAATTATTATTGTGAGCAAAATTACATAAACTGCGTAGTAAACTTTGTTAGATATGATACACAGTAAATTTACACACTTGTGGGCTACAGGCTTTACACTTACACGTGTCAAGAATATTTAACAATTTATTTAATTTTACTTTTAGAGCAGATTTATATAAATCACTTTTTTTTTTTTAAAGATTTATTTATGGCCTTTTTTAGATAGGACAGTATTGAGACAGGAAGCAAAGTGGGAGAGAGAGAGGGTTAGGGAAATGTCATCGAGCCGGGATTCGAACTCGCAACGCCCTGACGTGCTTTTGCACCATATGTCGGCACGCTAACCACTAGGCTATTGCGCCAACATAAATCACATTTTTAAAAAACTATTTACTATTTTCCCCCAGTGTATATAACCCATAGGTAGGAAAATATCAGCATGCAGTACATACTTTCAGTATTACTTCTGCTTGAAATGACCTGATCTAATCCTGTTTCTATTAAATAAGCCTGCTCCCGAGCAGATTTAAGCTACCAGACCTGTTGCTGTAACAACTCGGCTGGGTTATGATGAACAAAACAATCCTGGTTTGTTAAAATCATCAATAACAAATCCTGTTAATTGAGTAATCCACGCATGAAGAACAGACCCAAGATGTCAAACTACACCTCTAAAAATGTAGCTCGTTACACTTCAAGTTCTTAAAAGGAGTTACGTTGAAACAACTTTTTTCAGGTGTATATTATTTACAAAAATGTGAATAAATGTTTGTTTTAAGTTAAAAATTTGGTACCTAAAAGCCGTACATTACAATTGTCAACGTTAAGACTGTCAAAAGTCAAAATAACAAACTGCAACAAATCCTAGCAAGCAGTTTGTTGTTTTTTAAATAGGTCTAATAAATATCTAATAGACATTTATTGTCTTAACATAATTGTCTTGGCTAAAACGAGGCTAAATTTGGGCTGAGAGTGAAAATCTAATAGACACCGAAGATAAAACTAGACTAGTCATCAAATAAACAGAAATGAATGACTACACATAAAGTCTTTCTAATCAGTCTATTTGATGACTAGTCTAGTTTTGGGCTATTCTTAGATGTCTATTAGATTTTCACTGACAGTTCAAGTTTAGTCAAGCTGTCTACGTTTAGAAGTCTATTAAACACAAAATTGTTTGCTGGGATGTAGCATTGCAATAACTAAAACGTCACACAACATTCTAACATCAGGTCAATTGCCAACTGTTAGAATACTTTATAAATGGAATTTCAACTGTTGTTAATAGAAATGGACTATATAACAGTAATAAATAAATGTAAAGCCTTGAGATGGGTGGTTTACCATGGCTGTAAAAGGGTATATGCACAGCTAGTTTATTCCCCTACTGATAATCTTCTGGTGAACAATGTATGTGACTTTAAAATTTTATACTGTTTCTTTTACAGCATCGATGTTGTAATGTCAATAAAATATAATCCGTTTAAATGATTTCAGCTATCATGAAGTTTTTCAAACATAAAATGAGATGAAAAGCCGTTTACATGTACGCGTCTGTCAGGATCAGCAGGCTAGTGCAGAAGCTCCATTGAATATACTGGGGTAAAATAAATGTTCATATTTTAAAGACATGACGTGGAAAAATGTAATTTAATGCAGTGCTTCTTTTACGTTTTGAGACCCACTTTATATCATATCTCAATCTGGCGGTGGCGATCGTTGATTTATAAAGAAAACAGACCTTAAACACAGTGATTTTGTAACGTCATACAGCTCACCGCAAGCATTTGACCCAGGTTACTGAAAAATTGTAATTCCTTCTGCATATACCCTATACACCATTGTAGCATGTGCTCTTGTAAGATAACACTGTGCTGCATCAGACCATTGCAGGTTTACTAAATGAAATGTATCTGTTGTAAAGCAACTTCGCTACTTAATAAAAAATGTAGCTAGCTAATGGCAAAGCTACATTGTATCGTTGTTTTTAGTTGCCGAACTACTGAAGAATGTAAATGAGCTGCTCCAAAACACGATATTCACAGTGTTTCAATTTGTATTGCTTGCCCTAAATACTATGTAGCTCTTGACTGCATGTATCGTTTCCCAATTTGCACACTATTCACCCTAAATAGTCTTTATTTTAAACTGCATACCTGGGCTGTGTCTTCATTTGAATGCTGTCTATCCTAGTATTTAAAATTAGTATTATTCTTCCCCAAATTGTAGAATGTTGAGCTGGATGCAGATGTGCAGATCCAGTCACACACAATCATTCACATTCAGTCATTGTCACTTAATATTCAGGTAACCAAGTATTTTGGTGTTGTCATCGTTTACTCACCCTTGACTTGTTCCAAAAAACAGTTAAAAATTTTTTTTTCTGTTGAACACACAAAAATAAGATGTCCTGAAGAACGTTGGAAACCTGAAAACATTGACATCAATAGTAGGAAAAGGAGACTTTAAGCAACACATATGAAGAGATGATGCCAACCATCGAGGACACAACACATACACTTATTACACTCTATTAAACGTACATATGGACATCACCTATATGCTGTAAGATTGCAGGTTAACCATGTCTGTACAGGGTTCAACGCTAAGGATTGTTTTCTACTGGCCCAATCGGACCAGTGGTTCAGATTTTTACTTGCCCTGCCAATATTGTCACTGGCCCCACCAAAAAAAAGTTAATAGCTATTTCTTAGCCATAAATAAAAAAAAATGTCAAAATGTTTGTAAATCTAGAATTAAAATTTTTAAAAAATGTTAATAAAGTGTTTTGCAAACAAAAGTAGCAAAATGTGCAGGTATTTTTTTGCAAAACAAAAGATGACTGACCTGCCATCCTAACGGCAAACTGTACAAAACATCACTTCATTTTTTTTAGTCGTGGTGTACCCTCGTAAAAGTCTGGTTCCAAGACGTTATACACAAATGTTTTCGTTTAGCATCATCACTCGATGTTGCCGCCATGTTGCTGTCTCTTAGCTGTACTGGTTGTTATGGAAAAAAATAACATGCTCACAACACCCAATCAGATAAGAGGAACCGAGAAGGTAGCATTTGAAGGCTTAAAAACACAAACGGTTTCTGTATTCTGTCTGTATTTGCACGCAATTGACAAATAGTCACAGGCAAATTAAACTAATAGTGACAGGGCATTAGTGGCCCAATCGGGCCAGTAACGATCCTGTCTACTGTCCCGAGCATCTCACACGCTGGCCCCGGGCCATCGGGCAGTCCTTATTGTTGAGCCCTGCTGTATATAATAACTGGTATTTGATTGTAACTTGAACTTAATTTGATTGTAATGTTATAAAGTGCACCTTTTTTTGTATAGCTGCTTTGAAACAATAATTGTAAAAAGCATTACACAAATAAACTTGAATAGGAAAAACAAACACTATGGAGGTTAACGGCTACATGTTTCCAACATTCTTCAAAATATCTTCTCTTGTGTTTAACGGAGTCAGAATTGAGTAAACGATGGTATTATGTCTTAACAGTAGGCACATTGGGACTCATTGAGCATTACATTGAAAGCAAGTGAGAATTGAGACTAAGCTCAAGAGCGCCCTCTGTCTGTTCTGAAAGGGAACTGCATGAGTGAGTTTATGGGCTTGATCAAAGGCCATTATGAAGCCAAAGAAGAGGGGTTCCAGCCTGGAGGAGGAAGTCTTCACAGCATCATGACTCCACACGGCCCTGACGTTGACTGCTTCGAGAAGAACAGCACTGCTCTTCTCAAGCCAGAGAGAGTTGCTGAGGGCACCATGGTAATGTTTATTATGTATCTGGTTTTGTAATACATCAAAGAAGAAAATCTAATTCTAAACTGTACTGTTTTTGATAGGCTTTCATGTTCGAGTCTTCCTTCAGCATGGCTGTGACTAAGTGGGGTTTGGAGACCTGTCAGCGTCTGGATAAAAACTACTATAAATGCTGGGAGGCATTAAAGAGTCACTTCAATCCAAACTGGAAACCCAGCAGCAAGTAGAGCCCATGGTTAAACCTCGACTGAAATATCTGATTCACTCATAATGGTTTTATCTGTGAGAGGTTCAGTTAATCCCAGATGTTCTGTGCATTTAGAATAAGAACAGCCATACAATTAAATGAAATTACAAAAATGCAGTTGGTGCTTTTCCTTTTTCTTTAATAATAGTAATGACGTTTCAACAATAAGGTGTTTAATATATAATTACAAGTACTGTTTGTTGCAAGAAACAGCGAACTGAGAATTTTAGGATGACAGTTTAAAGGGGCGTTTATAAGTCCCGGCATCTATTTTGGAATCCCTTTTGTCCTAGAAAGAAAAAGAAAACAAAATCTGGTTCATAAAGTCATTTAACCTTTGCATTTTTGCTTAAAATGAAACATTTATTGATTAATTTGAACAAGACATTTTTATTTCTGTTGTTGATTTGTTTTTTTTGTGTGTTGGTTTGGTGATTTGTTCAATTTTCTACATGAACACACAAATTTTAAAATAAAACAGATATAATTTATGTTCAGGGGTTTAAAAAGCCCATTTGGCTGATATGGAGAAATATAAAAACCCTCTTCTGGTGGTCCAAACTAACAATCAGCTATTTTTATCAGATATTGTTAAAATCAAAAATTTACATTTTGCTATGTTTAAATAGGTTTCTTCATATGTTTCTAATTCTTCAATTAACAGTAATAAAAATACCAAAATGTATTAAAAAACTACATCTAAAACTGCTAATATTATACATTATATTACACTGATTTCCTGCTAATTTATTCTATTTTACTTTGAGTACTTCAGCCATATTTGACTGTGAAAGAAACAAGTATTATGCCAAGCCAAAGAAATAAAATCTAAATTGCGTAAATATTGCGCATTTACCATAAATTCCTTTAAAATTCTGAGCAGTAAACAAACAGCAAATATATTTTATGTATGGTATATTTTGTCATTTCAAAAAGTAAAAAAATAACTAAAAATAACTAAAATGATATTTAAATTATACAGTGCTCAGCATAATTGAGTACACCCAATTTTGAAAATGAATACTCATTTCTCAGGGAATATAGGCAATGTATTTTGGTGCATTTAAACAAAACAGATTTATTAAACAGATATAACTATCAAAGTAATATTTTAGTCACCAAACATATTTACAAATTGAAGGATAATGAAATTATATTCAAGACAACCTACAAAATTTAAACTACATTTTTCTTTTTTGCTTCTCTTGATTTTTACTTTTTTTCAAAATTTTATTTGTATTTAATGTTTTACTGCAACCTAAATTTGGGTGTACTAGTTTGAAAGACCCAACCCTCACTGACAAGGGGCTAGAATTTGTCCCATACATGAGCTTATTTGTCCTTTATTGACTGCTGTGCCATTCTAAATTATGAAAATAACTCATCGAAAAAGGTTGTTGTGACTTCAGCTAATCCGTTTGGCCAATGAAAACAATATTTTTTCATGATTTCAACATCCAGCTGAGCAAGAAAACGCACAATCTGATGTAAGTGAAGTCATCTTTCACTATAGTATTGTTTTTAAAAAGAGAAAACATTTTACAAGTGACTTTTATTCTAAATCTTGGACCTTATTCTTGAAACAAAAAGTGATCAATAAAAAAAAAAGCCAAAAGTGGCCCAATATCATAAGTAATTTGAATACTACTTTGGCTATTGTTGTTGTTATCCATAATTTTTCAAATGTATTTTTATACAAAAGAGGTCACAAAAATCGTGAAGCTTTACATTATTATTTTTTAATATAATTTTTAGTTTGTTTTAATTTTTATTCAAATGGCCAAATTCTGAATTGAATGTGCCGGCCAGTTTGTTGTTTGCACAATTAATGACAATAGGTTACAGTTTTTAATTTACAACTTTAACAGATTCCTATTTTTTACTTATGATATATGATATTTTTTAAATGCAATTTTATTACAAGCATTTATTCATATATCTTTATTTTAAATCATTAGGAAATATTATTGGTACTTAAATAAGCGTGTGTTATGATGACCACCCGATAAGCTAATCTAGCTAAAAATAGAGTTTAAAATGTCACTAAAATGCACTACTTAAATCTCATTATTATATAGAAAATGAGGCAAATAACTAAAAAAAAGTTCTCCTTTTTGAGAAAAAAAAGAACCAGCCTATTCACCAGGCTGGCTACTGGCTTGAATATAATAATAAATGAAAAAAATAGAGCAAAGTATACTACACTGATTAACTAAAATCAAATTTCACAGCAAAAAACCCTAAAGCGACAAGCAGTGAATTGGTCTATTTCCAGTGTGTGAATAATACATTGACTTTCAGGAAGGTCAACTTTTTTGGTAATAGTTTGGTTATACATGCTTTAGTGAAACAAAATTATGAATACTTAAATTACATCTACTTTATCAATAAAATGTATACATTTTCAGCGTTTTGAGGGATATTCAGTGACTATTTTAGATGTTACTGTAGGTCAAACTATACAAATTATGTGTCTAATTTTCCTTTTTTAGGCTACATGCAGATACAAATACCTATTTTACAAGGAACATGTTTTGTGAATACTTAAGATGTCTATCGGTGCTCTCGAACTGCCAGCTTCATGCATTCATAATAGTATAAACCACTATAGGGTGGGTCAAATTTTTATTTATATTATACACTTTTAATTTTTAATATTTAACATATACAGTAGATCAGAGAAAGCTATTTCTTACTATTAAAGGGCTGACACCTATACATTTTGTTTTAATGTCCTTTAGGGGGGGGATCAAGCATTAATTAGGGGGATCAATCCACCCCCAACCCCCCTGTAATTCGCACCCTGTGTATTCCTACTCACCCTGTCTGTCTTCAACACAAAGTACAAGAGCACCAGAGGTAAAGCTCCAAAAGCCACGCCAATCAGTGATGATTTAGTAGATGGTCTGAAATGCGGGTACACGATATTACGTGCATGCAGCCACCTGGTAAGGGCAGGGTCTTCCTACAAATAACAACGAGCAAGTTTATCAAAGCTATCAAGTTACCTTCCAGATCAGTATTTTAAGGTGACACATTTAAACCAATACATTTATCCATAATGCAGAATGTATATAAATATAGTAAACATGCTCAATCCAAAATGTAAACTTCACATTAGCGACGTATGTGGATCAAAACAAACTGCTAAAGTATAGTTGCTAGCCTCCAGCAGTGAAGGTCACTCAGTGAGGGCTCATTTTAACGCAATATAAGCCTCGAAGACATAAATGTAGACACATAAATATCTATTACAGCATGGCAAAACTATACCTTTACTATAATATAACGGCGATATATACTTAGCATCATAGTAACTGTTGTAATTTTTAAGCTAATGTTCGCTTGGTCTTACAATCAGCTCTTTGCGGTAGGGGTTGTTGAGCTGCATCTGGTACTGTCTCTTCATCTGAGACCGCAGAGCCGTCCGCTCCTCCTCCGCCCGCCGGTACTCGGGGGAAAGATTGTAATACTCGTCCGGGTCTAATGTTTTTGGAAGTGTGGCCAAAGGAGCCGGTTTATATTCTCTTAGCCTCGACATGTTTGCTAACGGGGACACTCACACGGCCCCGACAACAAGGAGGAATCTGATTGGCTGCGCGTCACGTTCATGAGTCTCGCGGTATTTGAGAAAATCTCGTTAAAGTGGTTTGCAGTTTTATTATAATAGACGATCTTAGACAACTTGAATATTATTGAACCTATCTCAGTTTAGCTAGGTGCGACATTTCAAAGGTTATATTTTACTTAAAATGCTTATTTTATTTATAGCGACAAGGTCACTCAGGGGTCAAGATTCACAGCAAGAAGGTCGCTGTTTCGAGTCCCGGCTGGGTCAGTTGGCATTTCTGTGTGGAGTTTGCATTTTCCCCCTGTGAGTTTCTTCCAGGCGCTCAGGTTTCAGTCCCAAGACATGCGCTACAGGTGAATTCATTTACTCAATCGTTTTCTTTTCGACTTAGTCCCTTTTATTAAAAGTAGTGTATGTGTGTGAATGAGTGTGTATGGATGTTTCCCGGTATTGGATTGCAGCTGGAATGGCATTCGCTGTTTATTATATACTGGAATAGTTGGTGGTTCATTCCGTTGTGGTGACCCCTGATGAATAATGGTACTAAGCCGAATGACATTTCTATTTGTAATACATTTTTGAGCAGGGTCAAAAGATTAATTCATTCATATTAATTTAGATTTTGGAGATGTCTCTCTTCTTCTCACTGATGCAGCATTTATTTGTAAAAAAAAAATTATAAAAAATAATTAATATTGTGAAAAATTATTGAAATCAAATTACATTTTAAATGTTTGATTAATCAAGAGGATATTAAATTGACCAATAGCGACAGTAAAGACAGCTGTAATAAAACAAAAGATTTGATTTCAAATGAAGTGTTATTTTGAACTTTCTGTTCATCAAGAATCCTGAAAAATAAAATGATTTTACACACCCACACACAACAAAGAGCAAAAAACAGCTAAAATGCCAAAAATTCTGTATTGACTTACAGAAATACTTGAAAAATCATTTTAAAAAATTAGGCTATAATGTCACAATAATACAGTTTTCGAATTATTTTTGATTGAAACAAATGGAACCTTGGTGAACAGACAAAACATTTTCTGAACTTTAATCAGTAGGGAGAGTGGGTACGGTTGCAACATAGGGCAGTTGCAATAACACTTATTCCTCTATTGAGGAATGAGAGTGATGATATTCTTCCCACATATTCTCAGTTAGACCTATCTTCAATCTGAGAAATCAGCCATTTTTGACCGTTCCTTCAATATAAAAACAATTTTAGGTAAAAAATAATAATTACTCTTTCAGAAGTTTTTCTTGTTCAGAAAATCAAATTTGTTTTTTTTAAACATTATTCATTCGTAAAGTTTAAATCCAACTGAGTATTGTAAAACTCAATAAGTTAAGGCAACTCAAACCATTCGAGGAAACTTTGCTACAAACCACTTGAGTTTAACTAATCTATACGAGTACTGTGAACTTACTCCATTTAAGTTGAAGTAATGAGGTATTTAATTTAATCATTACCTTTAACTCTGAGTTCAAAACTCTTTTCAAATGAGTAGAATTAACTTTCAATCAATTTTGAGTTAACTACACTCATTTCATTTGATAAAGTTGACTGTTGGGTTTTGCTGTGTAGGAATAGCCATCAAGCGTTAAGTTATTGTATCTCCAGCATAGACAGTTTAATAAGGGTTGACAGAGTTGGGATGCTGTTGACATGCTGTTGCAACTGTCTTCAGTTACAAAACTCATTTTAAAGCTTGCCATATAATCAATGTACAATTTTAATTTTATTCAATTTCAATGTAATTTAATTTTTAAATAATAAATTTTTTGAATAATTAATTCACTTAAAAGTTCAAAGAAGTAGTTTAGTAAAGATTCAGTATAGATTTTCAGTAAAAAAATATTTTGTTGTTATTTGGTTGTTCTTCTAATAGTCTGTATTTATATGGCCATTTTAACACATTTAACAATTTACATTTAGTCTGTTTACAAGAAAAAATACTAATAAAATCCAACCTGATGTTTTAGAATTAGCTTTTTATTATATTTTATTTTTATTTTGTCTGTTTAAGTTTAAATTCTGCATATATTATCATATGTACACATATTATAATAATGTGGGTGGGTGTCCAACAGATGTGGGTTTTTTGTATTAAAATTTTGGGTTTCCACAAAAAAACTGTATCTGAGAAACTAAAGGAAATGCAAAAAGTGTTGCAACTCTCCCACTCTCCCCTACATTTAATTTTAAAATATATTTAACTACACAAGACCAGTCATAAATGACTCCATACAATGATTCAGAACTTTTTGATTTATTCAAATTAATAAAGCAAATGAGTAAAAACTCTCAGATGAGATCTAGATGTCGACTCTCATCCTGTCTGAGCGGAGAAATCTCACATATACCAAAGTCTCGCTGAACATCCACAGAAAGATCATCTTTAAAGGAAACATATTTTCAATGTTGACCAGCAGAGGGCGCCACAATACAGTAAAAGTGTTGATTTCATGCACAGACACTTACCTTTGTCAACTATGTAACATCTGCTGGTGCCCAAATTCCTCCATTCATTGATATAGCTGAGACAAGAAAAAAAAATTAAAAAAACAAATTCATTTTTGAAAAGGATATCATATTGTCAAAAATGATTAAATGTCATGAACAGTGTTATAGCTCAATTACTCATCAAAATCAAGAGCTCTGGTCCACGCTAGCAGCTCATCCACTTCCTGCTCAAAGTCGGAAGTTTCAAATGAATCCAACAATGTCTCTGGGGAATTCTGAAGTTGTTGTGCTGTTTTACTGTGTCCTGTACGGCCTTCCGCATACCTGTAAACAAGCTCTGAGTCATTCATTCCTTACATGTTTCTTGTTTTCTAATAACTATTTCACCCAACACAAACAAAGCCAGTTTTCTTGACATACATTTTCCTCATCCATTCAATTTTCCGCATCTTCTTTTTTCTAGCAACATCTTGCTGCCGGCGGATTTTGCAGTGATGGAATTCTGTCTTCTTGGTATCTTCAGTTAGTTTGAAGATTGGGTCTTCAGACGTGGAAAACTTCAATCATACAGGTAGAGATTGAAGATAAATTGTACAAGAATCAAGTAAAAAAAATTATAATGTATTTAAAAATGCAATTTATTGCTGTTATGGAAAGCTGAATTTTCAGCATCATTACACCAATCTACACTGTCACATTCATCAAAAATCATTATCAATATATCGAAAAGAAACATTTATTATTATAATTAGCATTATTAATATTATCAATGATCAAAACAGTGCTATAAAATAAATAAAAATAATATTACTAAATTCAGACAGTAATAATAAATATACACTTACTGGCCACTTTATTAGGTACACCTGTCCAACTGCTCGTTCATGCAAATTTCTAATCAGCCAATCACATGGCTGCAACTCAATGCAGTAAGGCATGTAGACATGGTCAAGACGATCTGCTGCAGTTCAAACCGAGCATCAGAATGGTGATTTAACGTGGCATTTTCCCAGTGATGGTTTGCAGCTGGAAGGGCATCCTCTGCGTAAGACATGTGCTGGATAAGTTGGTGGTTCATTCCGCTGTGACAACCTTGGTTTATTAAGGGGACTAAGCAGAAAAGAAAATGAATGAATGAATGATTATGGCATGGTTGTTGGTGCCAGATTTATTATATTAGAGTTTTTAAAAAACTGCTGCTCTACTATGATTTTCATGCACAAACATCTCTAGGGTTTAACGAGAATGTTCTGATAAAGAAAAAAATATCCAGTGAGCGGCAGTACTGTAGACGCTAATGCCTTGTTGAAGTCAGAAGAGAATGGCCAGACTGGATCGAGCTGATGGAAAGGCCACTTCTGTCAGCTATGAACAGGAAACTCAGGCTCACCAAAATTAGACAATAGCAGATTGGAAAAAACGATGACTGGTCTCATGAGTCCTCGATTTCTGCTGTGATATGTGGACGGTAGGGTCAGTATTTTCCGTCAACAACATGACAGTGTTGATCCATCCTGCCTTGTATCAACGGTTCAGTCTGGTGGTGGTGGTGTAATGGCGTGAGGGATATTTTCTTGGCACACTGGGCCGATTAGTACCAATTGAGCATCGTGTCAATGCCACAGCCTACCTGAGCATTGTTGCTGACCATGTCCATCCCTTTATGACCATCATGTCAATATAGACCAATATCTCTGAGGAATATTTCCAGTACCTTGTTGAATCTATGTCATAAAGAGTTACGGCAGTTCTGAAGGCAAAAGGGGTCCAACCCGGTACTAGTAAGGTGTACCTAATAAAGTGGCCGATGAGTGTATATGTTTGTATAAGTTTTGTTATATTTTTGTTTTATCATATTGTATACAAATGATAAAACTGAAAATGAAAGTATTACGACTGGATAAATCACCTTGCTAGACAAAATCCTCCAGCCATTGTTCTCCACCCTTTGGTACCACCCAGCATTATTGTCCTCATTATCCCTCAGCAGTCGGCCATTATGGATCTGGTTTGAAACCAGTTTCTTCTGCAGTGTGTAATCTTTTGGACTGAAGGCACACATGTCCACCACAGGAGCTCGAGTGTATATTTTAAAGTAGATATCTGGAGGATAGGTGGGCTGAAAATTTATAATCAGTAACTTATTGTAGCATGTACGTGTATGTTTAACACATCTCAACTATTAAACCAAACCAAATATAACCAAGCCTGAAAGTTTGAATTCTTTTTTAAAATCATTAAGTTGTAGGTTTAAATTAGTTTTAAGTTTAGCGGTTTTACATTAAACACATTTAGTTGCTCAATTTTTTATGTTTTAAATGAGTCTATTTTTGGTCGGTTGTTAAAGTGTTGCTATGTGGTTTTTTGGTGGTTACTAGGGTGTTGTTTGGTTGCTAGACAGTTACTATTGTCTTCTGAGTTGTTGCCAGGTGGTTAAGCTGTTCTGTGTAGTTGCTAGGTAGGTGATATTCAGTGTAGATTCTAGAGTATTGCTGTGGTTTACTAGAGTGTTGTGTGTGGCTGTTTGGCAGTTGCTAGGAGGTCCTAGTTGGTTGCTAAGAGGTTACTAGTGTTGATATGCAGATGCTAGGGCGTTATGTGTGGTTGCTAAGATATTTCTGTATGGTTACTCATTCATTCTTTCATTTTTTTTCAGCTTGGTCCCTTTATTCATCAGAGGTCACCACAGCAGAATGAACCGCCAACTTATCCAGCAAATGTTTTACGCAGCGGATGCCCTGCCAGCCGCAACCCATCAATGGGAAACACCTATACACCCTCATTCACACACACACACACTACGGACAATTTAGCCTACCTAATTCACATATAGCGCATGTCTTTGGACGTCTGGGGGCCACCCTGTATGGTTACTATAGGTATTTCAGGGGGTTGCCTAGTGTATTTTGTGTTGTTGCTAGGGTATAGCCAGGTAGTAACTTGGGTACTGATTGTGGTTGCTTGTGTATTTTGTGTAGAATGCTTAGGTGATGCTACTCAGTTACTTGAGTGTTCTGCGTGGTTCCTAGATGGTTGCTAAGGTATTCTGGGTTGTTGAGGACAAGTAGGTATCATTGCAGTGTCGGAGACCTCCAAGTGGTAGGGATTACACCGCAAGTAGGTTGGGTGATCTTTTTTTTTTATATAATTATTTTTTCAGGGTTTTCACCTTAACTTTTGATAGGACAGTGGAAAGAATTGACAGGAAAGCATGGGGAGCAGAGAGAGGGGAAGGATCGGCATAGGACCGCAAGGCTGAATCGAACCCGGGTCGCCGCGAGCACCGGAGTGCATGTGTCGACGCACTAACCACTACACCACTGGCGCCGACAGGGTTGGGTGATCTTAAAGTGGGAGGGACTTGTGGAAGGGCCACATGTAGGCTGGGTTTAGGTGGTGTAGGTGGAGTACATATTCATAAAACACATCAGGTTACTGTGAGGTTGAGTTTAGGGTTGGGGTAGGAATTCATAGAGCACAATATTAGACTCTGTGTCATGTACAAAACATTAATTGACAATTACCAATTAAAGCTCAAGGCCCACCCACTTGGAGCTGGCCCCAACCTATATTTATAGCCTTCTTGTTGAGGTTGAGGCATTCTGTAGCGATACAAGTATGTTGCTGTTCTGTTGCTAGCATGTATTATTGCTTTGCTAGCATGTGACAGATAGATAGACAGACAGACAGACAGGAATACTACACAAATTAGAAATATTACATCACTTTAAAGGGCTGGTCCACAGTGTATTTTTATGGCTGGTTGTGTTTATAAGATGCTAAGCAATGTGTGCTTATGCTTCACTTGTTGAAAATCATGTTATTTTTTCATATATCATACTTTGATTATATACTACTCAGAAAAACGTATGTCATATTTCCTAGTTCTTCTGAAAGGTCCACCCTCAAGAGGCTCTGATTGGTCAGCTAACATCATGAATCAGACAGAAATGAAGAGCACACAGCTCACACCTGCTCTCTAAAATAAAATCTGACAAGTGTCTTTCACATATATTCAGAATAAGAATGTGTAAGTAATATAAAACGTTCACATATCTTTAGCGAGTTGGTCATTTGAGATATATAATGCACAGAAAATGTCCGCATAGAGAGACACTGCACGTGATGCTAAAGATTGTGGCTGTTTACAGGAATTTGACTGATAAATATGAATTTTTAGCTAAATTGTTAGCGGTGCCAAACAGCAATACCCATTGTTAACATCCTTGTTTACATCCTCACTACAACATAGCATTAACGCTAGAAACTGTGCATTTAATGGATCAATTTTAACAAATAAAAATACCTGCACGTTGTAGCTCACAATCCACAGCTTCGTCAGTTAAAAGAGTTTCAGCCGAATCCAGCACTGAACTGGGAGAGATTCTGGAAGTTCTCCATTGTCAAATGCAAGCACTAAATCTTTTTTCTTTTATAATTCTCTGGAACATAATTTAAATTACATTGTAAGCACTTCTCTCTTTGTGTCATGTCCTGTGGAAGCCCAAATACAGAAACAGGACAAACTGTGAAAATAGCAGCGTTTGGACAGCATTTTAGCTTTTAGTTTTAACATTATAGCACATCTGGCCACGCTCCTTCGCTGCGCAGGGTGTGTGTGTGAGGTGAATGCACGTAACGGGAAGCCCTTGCGATCTCACTATCCCAGATGTATTTTTTTGTAGTCCCCAAACTTCGTTTGCTGTTGACTTTGCTAAGTTAACTCTAAAATCCAAGGTCTCCCTTTGCATTGAAGCGTATTACATTCAGACATGTTGTTTATGTTCACACTGCTACAATACACATCAACTAGAGTTTAAAATATGATATCGTGGACCACCCCTTTAAATGAGATTAAATAAATAATAAAAAATAGTAGATAGATATGAAATAAAATAACCTTGTAAAGGAAACATGGACATCATTAACACTCACCCCACCCAATCGGAATCTGATAAGAGCCCCTGAAGCAGCATCCAGAATATTAGCCTAGAAATAAGCATTCAGTGTTAGGAAAACTAAACAATAAACATCTCAATTAAACTTTACAACAGAAGTATTTACCTCAGCAGGGTTAATAAATCTAAGGAGGAGACGTGGATCCCCTTGATTATGGAAGCTCAGAAGCTTCTTGAGGTGCTTGAAAACAGCAGTATCCTATACATGACAGGCACGGTATGCACTGTTTATTTGTGAATAAAATCCTATGTAACCACATTGGGGAAAAATGTAATACACAAGCTGACTAACAACATGTTTTCTCCAAGCTCTCTGGATGATCATGGCTGCTCGGCTGAACTCTGCTTCCAGCTGTGGGACAAGAATGACATTAGTCTGTGATGTGGTTTCCTCAGCTGGAGATGCGGGGTGATGCCTAAAGAGGGAAAGAATGATTGACAGGTTGTTGTTTTTTTCCTTTGCTTCACTTGTTTAGAAATAACTCTGCTTCATTCTATTTTATACCTGTCAATGGAGTATTCGTGTTCAGTCATTTTCTTGCTCATGCTAGCACGTGCTATTAAAGGTTATAAAAGAGAGGAAAATATTTATTCGATGAAATGTTAAATGGATTAACTTTTCAATTAGCCGAACTAAAGGAGCATATAATTCTCTTAAGAGAAAGAGAAGACGGATATGGCAAGCTGTTATAATAATTATAGCTGTTATAATAATTGCTGCATCTGCATTTTATGCTACTACATTACTTTTAGTAACTTTTGCATTAACCACCATGCTTATTTTGCTTATTTTACTATGGTACTAGTGCTCAATGGAAAAGATATGTGTAATTCATAAGATAATATACCAATTAAATAAAAACTAGTAATTATTCATCGAATACTAGTAGTCATGAATATTATTATTTATTATTAGGTATTCTTGTGATTATTGGAGTAGTGGTAACAAATTTCTAGTAATGGGATATTAACTATATTTCTGCAAAAATCTATTCCAGTTGTGACAAAAACATATTTGCATATAACTACTTGCATATTCCAGTTTTCATTTTTAAATACTACATATTTTTAGAAACAAGTCAGGGTTCAATGCTAAGGACATTTTCTACTGGCCAGACTGGACTAGCGATTCAGATTTTTACTTGCTATGCCAAAAATTTCACTGGCCCCACTAAAATAATAAATATTCCTTAGCCACATATTTTAAATATTATGTCAAAAATGATGTCTGTAAATCTAGAATTTAAATATTTTTAAAATGTTAAAATATTTAGCGGTAAAATATAGCAGTATGGAAAATGTGCAGTTATTTTATTGCAAAACAAAAGGTTGCTGACTTAAAAGTGACGGAAAACTATACAAAACATCACTTAATTTTTTTTCGTTGTGTTGTACCCATGTAAGTAACTGTTTCCACAACGTTAGAAACAGACGTTTTCTTTTAGCCTCATAATTTGATGTTGCCGTCTCTTCACTGTATAGGTTTTTACCAGGTTGTCGAAAAAAATAACGTGCTCACAACTTCCAATCAGATAAAAGGAACTGAAAAGCAATGTGGTGTTTACGACTTTACAGAAAAGGTAGCATTCAAAGACTTAAAAACACAAATTGTTTCTCGATTCTAAGACTGTATTTGCATGCAACTGACAAATAGTCGCAGACAAATAAAAAATTTATGACAAGGCAGCACTGGTCTGATCGGGCCAGTAACGATTCTCTTTACTGTCCCAAACATCTCTCACGTTGGCCCCGGGCCATAAGGCAGTCCTTATTGTTGAACACTGCAAGTATATCATTATTAAATACTAGTACTAGGAACTCATAGCTACTTTATTAAACAAATACTAAGGCCACACAATAGATTTTTGTTTAAAACAGCATTTTTCTCTCCATTTTGGCTAATTGTCAATACTTAGACAGTGTTTTTATGCTACCATATCTTTTTAAAAATACTCTAAAAAGGATACATTTGAAAATGCCGTTTTCGAGTCAGTGTAGACTCTGAAAACTGAGGCTTTCAAAAACAATGCTGCATATTTAGTCATGTGACAAATTTAGCTAAAACAGTGGAAGACTTTGTACAGCAGTTGTTTTGGATGCTCTGTTTTAATTGCATTGTTAAAGATTGATGTCAGTTTGTACATGCTATAGATTGCTTTTCCTTAAAGGACATGGAATGTTTACTTAGAGCTGTTGTTTTGGCACATCTCCCAGTCTATATTCTCTCACTCGCTTTTGCAACTTTATACAGGATCCTCAAATAACCAGGAAAGAAATAAATGTAAGGCTAAAATGAGGCAGGCCTTATTGTCTAAACGTTCAGTACAGGGACGAAATCATTTTCATTTGCTTCAATGTGGTTGAACAAACTTTGAGAAGTGATCGAAAAATGATAGTGTGTATGTGAAGTGTTTTTAGATGAAAACTATTTTCAGATTTATCTAGTGTAGACATAGCCTAATACTTATTAATTTCAATCTAGTATTTATTCACTATAGATACTAGTTTTTGTTTAGATACTAGTACTTATTGATTAGCTACTAGTACACATTTATCAAATACTAGTGACTAGTATAATAACTAATAAGAGCTAGTATCCTAGTAATGAATACCAATGCATAATATATAAAAACTAGTATCTATTTAATAGGTGAATATCTCTATGTAATTAAAAAAGTCTGTAATGATTAATTACCAGCATCTTATAATAGGTATATCTAAAAAAAATGTAGTAGTATCTAAGGAATAACATTTTGTCATAAAAATATGCACTTGTTTGTACTAAATTGAATAGCTGATGTCACTAGACCCTTTTCACATTTCCGGATTTTCAGTAGCGGAAGTCGTCATAGTTGAAAAAACTTAGAACGCAGAGATTGAATGGGAGAATCTTATTTGCTGAAATAATTAAATAAAACCTCCACGATGATGTTATAAAGACTTTAAGAAAAAGGAAAAAATTATGTGAGACTGATGACGGCAGCCAGAGGAGAGAATAATGTCAAATTTGCTGTCCTGTCCCATAGACGCTGCATTAGAAACACTTACACAAGCGGTTATTTGTTTATTATAATTTGAAGCAAAGATGATATACTACATACATAAATACATTTAAATATTCATACGTTTAAAAAATATATATTAAAAACTTTCAAGGATTTAAGATGCTGATGATCGTTAAATGCGTCATAACAGGCTTGTCCCTAACAGATCCTCATAGAATACCACAAATTAGTTACAATAGAATAACAGAATTACTATTGAAATAAATATGTAGCAGTATCCAATAATAAACACCAGTGTTTAATTTATTTAAATTAGTTTTATTATTTAATAAATAATACTATGTATTTAATTAACATTTAGAAGAATAAGAGGCTACTAGTATTAGCATTTTTGTTATATGCTAGTGATTGTTAAAACAGCTTGCCATAACACCATTTAAGGCTAAAGCTCAGCTCCCTGATTTATTAATCCTCTGCCATGTCAAGGAATGGGAAATAGGTTTATTCATCTAGGATTATTTAAGGATTGTGTTGGATTACATTTGACTCCACCCAGATACTCAATTATAAATTGTATAGAAGGTTGCTTTAAATAAATCATTTCCGCCCACAAAATGTTACTTACTTGATCTCTGGAGACGTCGTCACATAATCAACAAACAGATTCAGGCTTATAGAAAATATAGCCGAATGAAAGATTTAGGCAGTAACGTTAGGGGAATAAAATATGTAATTAAATCTGAGGCGGTGTAAATAAAGCCCTTAACGTTAGATGTAAACATACATTTCAGATCAATCCCATGCGCTGAATATCGAAAAACAAACAAAATCGTTTCAACTGCATTTCCACAAGCGCGATGTCGCTTTAAAAAACCTAACTCAGAGAGGTAAAAACGTAACCAAAAGAAGAGACTAAATATTGAGGAACTTATCTTAAAGTTATCAAATTAAACTAGCTCTTGCTTTGGCTTTACCCATTCATGGAACGGGCGACTACCTGCCTTCAAAAGGCGTTACTACAGCAACGTGAAAACACTCAATAAACACAACAAGCAGTACAAGGTTATCCCAGAGTCAAATGACTTTTTTTAATTAATGGAGACGTGTGGACTACATGTTCTTTTGACAAGCAAATATTGCTGCTGAGTTAAAATCGTGACAGAAAATTCTGATTTTAATTATCAAATCTAAGCAGGTGTCGTAATAGTTCACATAAAATGTCAAATTACATTTTTATTCTTTCCCCCGAACATTAGCAGAAGCTAACAGTTTCACTAAAAAGTTTATGGTAAATCTGGGGCATTGTGTAATCTGGAACTGGAATCTGAATGATTTTGAGATATTGATCTGCAAAGTTTTTGCATTCCATAGCAAATAGTATGTGTGCAGCATTTGTTTGTTTTTTTTTTTAAATAAAAAGTCTTAAAATGTAAACAACTTATTTAAAACATCCTAATAAGTTGTCATTTAATAAGATGCCAGATAGAACCTTATAATTCTGAGGGGACAAAATGTGACAGGACTGATATTTATATTATATTATATTTATATTATATTATATATTTATATATACATATATTTATATTTATATAATATATATATAAAAAAAATATATATATAAATATATATATATATATATATATATATATATATATTAGTTTAGCTTATTTGTTTACAGGGTCAATGCGCATTACTACACATTACTGTCAAATGTGCCAGAATTAGCCAAGAATGGCTATTTTTCATCTGTAGACCCCTAACAGAATGTTAAAAAGTCACACCTAAAATATAAGCACAGCATAACATAGAATACACTATCATATATAAAATACAAAAAAATACAAAAAAAAACATGGATGGCAACAGAAGAGGACAAAAGAGCCAAAGACGAACAGTACAAGTGTCAAAAATAAAGTACTAATGCTGACAATGCTGATTTGTCAATAACCAATTTTTAACACGAAACTGCAAAGAACAAAAAGTGCATGATCTTCTAATTGTTGGTGGGATGAAGTTCCATTCCCCAGCAGCTTTCACTGAAAATACCGACTGACTGAACTGACTTTTTTTTTGAGAGGAATCCAATCTCCTCTTTCACCAATTCTAGTAGTTAAGTCTAGTGGTAAGCAGTCGTTCTAACTTTCACGAACTGATTTAGTGGTGAAGTCGTGTTATGTAAAGTCTTAAACATTAAACAAACATGTACATATTTAATTACATTTTCCCAACTAAGCAGGTTATACTTCTTTAACATTGAACAATGGTGAAACTGAATTGTATTTTTATCACAGGTTTTTAAGGATTGTTTGTACAATGAATTAAGTGGCTTCAAAGTAGTAATGCTAGCTTGGGACCGAGTTAAACAATAAGTGATGTGAGAGATAGTCATGGAGTGATAAAAAATTAGGGCAGCCTCACATGACATATGTCAAATAATAAATCTAAAAATTCCTTAACTGAATTATATATTTGTAATATTTATTTATAATTTCATGTTTTTAATCAATTGATGTAAAGGATAACAACTTAAACTTTGCTATTTCTGAGTTTTTCCCCCTAAATAAGTTTTTAGCCTAACAAAAATATTAAAGCTGTAGGTTCAATAGGGCTAAGGACAATGACAGGGTTTGTAAATTTGTTGTTTAATGAAGAACAAAAATCTGAGAACAAAATGCATGACATATTCCTTTACAGAACAACCCACAGAAATCAACTATCAGTCAATTTTAGACATTTTTGGGATAAAATACTTCATGTTCACTGTATTTATGTTTTTATTTGAGGGAAAGATAATGTATGTTTATGGCAGAATGTCTCATATGGCCTACAATCAAAACAAACTTATTATCTGTTGCTCATTGTATATAAATTAAGGTACCCTTAACTTAATATTACTTTTTAATATCACAGTGACTGCAAAAAAAAAAAAAAACATTAATATTTTAGTTTTTTTTACAACATTATATAGTCCACAGCCTCTGCTAACATGTTTGTTCCCCTTCAAAGCAGTTGCTCAGCAAATTGCCGAAACAAGAGAGCACCATATCAGGTGTATCACTCATAACTGCTCATTGTGCAGCTACATTTAATATTAAGAGATGGCAGGTTGTGACATGAAAGGTTGTTCTAATCAACTGTAATTACACAACTGTTCAATAACTGTATTATTATAGAACATTTAAGTTTACCAAGACTGAGTGTACACTTATGCTTTATTTTACACACTGTTACATTTGATAAGTGATCAAAATGATTCAATATTGCCTTTTTATCTTAATAGAAATAAGTGCATTCAATATATTACATTTTCATAAATATCACAAAAAAAATGTTATTAATGAAGACATTCAATAAATCATGTGGAAAGGACCAATCGTTTTACAGCATTTAGTTAGTATTGCTGTAATTGACTCATGCTTATGGAGGTCCCTAAGGTGTCAGCCCCCTTCCTAGCATAATAAATTACAATAAATGATTAATTAATATTACACTTGAAAACAAATAAGCATGACAAACAGTACAGTTGAACTGCACAGCAAATAAAAATCAATGTGAGTTCCAGAAATTGCTACGTTCATCTTTTGCATACTTTGTCTGAAGGTCTTAACACATTGTTATGATTGTGTCATTAATCTGTGCGCCACTTCTACAAGTTTCTCTTTTAACAATGATATCAAATGGATCACAGACTCATGATTAAGCTCCAGTTTTGTTGTGGCAAAAATACCATAGTTTATAATGGGTTGAAAAACATTCAAACACATTTAAACATAGTTGGAGTTTCTGAGTTGACAGCTACTGACTATAGAATAGCTGTCAGGAAAATGACTGTATTGTGACTGTCATGCTGTGCATTCAAATAGCTTAGCAGAGAAAAACACCTATAACCTACAGGCAGCTCTGAACAAAAGTAATTATGCTAGAAGTATCCATTTCAAAGTTTCAAGATCCAGAAATATATAAAAAAATATAGACAGTATATATACACTGTATTGTACTGTATATTGCACTGTATTGTGAAATACATTCATAGTTAAAGCAAACGTAGTTATCCACACTAAAAGATTCAAGAAGGACAATTCATAACATGAAAAGCATCACATATAATTATAATTCCTTCTGTTAATGCAAGAACTGGGTTCCAAGTGGTATTCAGAATTTGGATATTGTTTGACAAATGCAGTATAAAGGCAGTATAAATTGTAAGCACATCTGCAACTGAATAACAATCTAAAGTTCTGTTTCTAGATCATCTTCACCACCACTGCCAATATAGTATTCATCATCGGTGGTGGTGTCAGAACCAGACTCCTCAAAAACAGTCAGGCTGTTTGTGAAGCTCCTTGAGGGAAGCTGAAAAGGAGACAGATTTTCAGGAGTTGTCCTGATGGGGGACGGTGTAGCATGGGCTTGTGATATCCGACGAGGAGATGAGGAAAAAGTTGGTGATGGAGGTGGGGTTGGGTCTGCAAAATCAAGTTCAAGACAATCGTCTGTAAATTCAGTTTGAGACGGTTTACCAGTGACTGATTTGGCATTGTTGCTTGGGGAAAGGCTAGTACTCATTAAGGAGTCAACCGTTTGATTCCCCTTTGATCCAAAGTCTTCCAAGCTCGAGAGGTCGCTGGTGCTGCTTGTTGAGATTCGTCTGGAACCTGATGGGCGGCTTGAAACCACGCCACTGACCGAGAAAGATCGTCCAGCATGCAGGCCATACTTTAAATCAGCACATGATGAGGACAAGTGAGATCTCACAAGGTTTTGCGGCAGGGAACTCTTAGCAGAGCTTAGTGGAGAGATGTCATCAGACTCGCACAGTGAATTTGTCTTTTTGCTAATCGGACTATAAAACACATTGTCATTCTGAATGTCTTCTGAATCTAAATCAAACAAGTAAAATGGTGACGGTGGACCAACTGAAGATTTTCTGTAATGTGGCAAGGTGGCAGAGCGGTTCATGCTTTGGGCCTTTAGCCTGTGTTGACTAAAGCTCCCGCCATTTGACTGGTTTTCCATTTCATTGCTATCCATCTTTTGTTGATCAACGTTTAGTTTGTTGTCTGATGATTTCTTTGAAGATAAGGGTGATGAGGACCCAAAAGAGGCAAAATAGGTTTTATCAGTGGTCAAAGATGAGCTGGGGGCCTCCCATGTGCACCCAGAACCATTTTGTTGATTGTTCGTTTTTGTTGACTTGTTTTGCCAATCCATATCGAAAGTATTCTCTGACTTTCTTATTGCAAGTGGCGGCAATGACCCAAACGTTTCTTTATTAGCGGTCAAAGATGAGTTAGGTACTTCCCACATGCACTTGGAATACTGTATTTCAGCCGTAGACCTATTTTGTCCATCCACATTTAATGTGCGTTCAGACATACTTAATTCTGTTGGTGACAATGAACCCAGGGAGACTTTATTAGTTGTTAAAGAGGAGTTACAGGGTTCTCCTTTGTTTCCAGAACAAGTTTTCTTATCTGTTTTGGGTTTTTCAAAAGTCTCAGTGTCTAAGGATTGCTGAGTAGGGGTCTTTTTTGTGTCAAGTGTGCCTTCTGAACTTTTGACACCAAACGTCAGTTTCAATCGATTTAGCATTTGATCAATCCTGCTGGTTGTTCTGAAAACTGGTAAATGTCTTTTAGTTTTTAAAAACTGGGAACTACCAACTTCTTTTTCTGGCAAAGAAGCTGAAGAGAAGGCACCATCTTTCTTTACTCGTGAAGCAAAAAGTCCTTTCTTTGAATTGGGACTCTGTGTTTCTTGCAATTTCTCTTGCATATGCCCAGAGGTAGTCTCTTTCTCATGTGGAAGTGGAGTCTGACGTTGTGCATTAAGGTCTTTAGGGAGAAAGTACTTCTCTTTTTCGCTCAGCCTGTGCTTGGGGTAAACATTACCCTTATCAAGCCTAAGTGCCATTGAGTCATCATGTTCTAGGTTATGGAAGTTGTTAGAGCCTGTATTGGGCTGCCTTGGGTGTGAGCTTATATTGGCGCTTCGGCTCTCCATGACAAAACTTGCATTTGCTGTAGTTTGTGAGAGACATGGCTGGGCAGGTCTGTTATTATCTAGGTTGCTTGCATAAGCTTGAACTGCTGTCCTCTGTTCTCTGTGAGATGAAGCTGAATCTTCCCTTGGTCTTATTGTTATGCTTGTGTATTTGGATGTTAAAGAACTTGGGTCGTTTGTTATAAGGTCAGGATTATTGTTGTAAGATGTAGATCGGGTATGTGTTTCAGGCACAGGTGGAGAGGACAGTCCTTGTAAAGTACTACTCAGTGCAGGTCTTGAGGAGATGAGGCTAGAATACGGAGAAGTGCTGAGACGAGGTGCTGATCCTCTTCCAAAGTCAGGAGGCAGAGATTGAGCAGGAGCTGCATAAGTGCTTAAGCTTTTACCTAATTCTTGTACCTTGGGAACAGATGGGTTGAAGTCAAATGAAAATCTTGAGGGAAGTGTTTTCCAGTCATCATGCTGTTTTACACCCCCATCTTGTTTAGGAGGTGAGGTTTCAGCATTCTGTATCTGGGACAAAGGGGTGGAAGGGGAAGGGGAGGACAGAGATGAACTAGACTCCCGTAGGTATGAATAGATGCTCGGTACTCTGACACTATGAAGAGGTCTGCTTGGAGAAAGAGGGCTTGAAAGATCCATTGAGCTTTGACTTGAATTTTTCCTGGAGTATATCTGCCCCACATTTGTTGGGCTTAGTCCATCTGCAGAGGAGTCTTTTCGGGGGGAGAAGATAAGTCTGTCTGTGAAAGTGCTTGTGCCGGAAAAATTGCTAGCTGTTATATTATGTGTGCTTTGTGATTTTGACATATGAAAACTAGATTGCTGAATTTGAAAACCTGTTGAATCTTTGGGAGGAATTACAGTGTTTTGAATTACTTGTCGTTTGGTAATGTTGGGGTTCTGCAGGTTGTTGCCGTTACCAGGACTTTGTTCCATGGGATCAATGTTCTCTGTGCTAGAATATTCCCTTAAAAGAACCAAATAAGAACTCTGATGAGATTTGAGAGCCCCAAGTTGGCTGGTTTTGGTTGTGGAATGAGGGAAATGTTTATTCTCTACTTCTACTGTGGCAACAGAAGCGTCCAGTCCCTTTGAAATGACTGTCTCTTGTTTATTTGAAAACATTGATGTGTTTAATGGTACCCTACTCTTGATTCTAGGTGAGAATCGAAATTGACCGACTGGCATTCCCTCTGTTCTTACAGGAGTGTCAGGGTTTTTGTTGATTTGCTCTTCAGAGGTAACAGATTGGTCAGATTTCAAAACAATTCTGCTAGGCAATGTAAGTGACCTTATAGATCTAGTTATCGGAGTTTGTGTAGGCTCAGGAGTAGAGTTTCTCAAATTTGATCTCCTCAAAGAAAGAAGTAAACTGCTTGTTGTAGGCTTGGAGCTCAATGATTTAAAAGGTTCATTTTCATCTCCAGTTTTTGATACTCTATATCCTGAATGAGGTAAATTTGGCACCTGACGTGAGTCCAGAGTTGTGGGAAAAGAATGCAATTCTCTATTGGTGTACGTCATGCCCACAGAGGAGGATTTTGTAATGGGTCTCTTTTGGTTTACTGTTGTCGTGACATTTGGAGAGTTATTCTCTTTTTGCCAGTCAGCAGAGTAGCTGGTTCCAGCATTCACCTGCATGTTACTGTCATTGGCCATCATGTGTTCAGATGGTTGCCTCTGGAAAGGAAGATAAGGTTGTTGCCGCCAATCCTGTTGAATTAAGGTAGATGGGTTGCCATACTGTCCACGATCTTGAACTTCAGTCTCTGCCTCACTGATGCCTTGCTTGGGTCTTCGAAGACGGCCACTCCAAGGTGGAGCTAGAACTGAAGCCAGTGCAGAAGTCAACATAGCCGTTGTAGGATTTATAACATTAGCTTTTACCTCAGGAGTTTTTTCAGAATACCCCGGAAAACCGGCTAACGACAAAACCTGGTCAAGTACTTCTGACTGGTGTGGAAAAAGTTGGGAATCAGTGCTTGCTTTTAGAACACTGTCCAGATTATTGTGGTTTTGTAGAGTTGTTGGAGCATTCTCTCTAGGGCCTCCAGATTCCTTCTTTACTTCTGAATTTAACTCATAAATAAGATGAGAAGAGTTGCGTGTTAGTGAGTCCTGGTGGTCGGTTTGCTCATGAAGGCCTATGTTGTGTTGTATTCCTGTATTTTGTCCATGTTTGGGTGTGTTATGTCCATGCTGATGCTGAGTGGCTTCATCAAAGGTTGCTTTTTGCCCATCCTTAAGCAATTCACCAGTTGATTCACCACATTGCTCTGTCGATGAAAACAAGTCCCTCAGCTGTCAATGCAAGCAACACATATTTTGATTAATATTTTAAATAGTTCACAAATTAATTCAAGCTCAGTAGCATTTATACATTCTTACACTACCAAACTGCATTTTAGACTTGGTTGGGAAACTTGTAAGAAATGTGTCTCACACATATGTGAGATGTTTGAACAAATCTCCACTCCCATTTCAACTGTTTACACATTCAGTTCAATTTCACAGCTGAGCTTTGCATTCCACTTCAAAATACTACACATGCAAAAAAAAAAAACTGCGAACATGGCCTGGTAGAGCAGAAATATTTTCAATGGGCAGTACGCCAAAGAAAGTTTATTATGTTTATGTAAGATATGATTGACTTTCAGGGCACAGATTTTATCTTGACATTCTCTCACTAAAAAAGATAAACAGCCTTATTCTCATTTATGTGTCTTAGCTTGTGAGCTTACCTCTGTGTTGTGTTGATTAGCTGTGTTTTTCTCCGCTTCAAGTGTTCTGTAGCTGTCAAATTGACAAAATTATTAAATTAGCATATGCCTTTTTTATGAGCAAGCTGAAAAAAGTAGGTAGATTAAAAATACCTCCTTGTAACATTTGAATATCAAACATAAGTTCCCTCAGGCAGATAAACAAGGATGAAAAACTCTGACGAAAACAAAACTCTCATCTAATTCAATGTTTCACACGCTATTCTCACTCCCTAAATACTTTTTTGACTTCAACTGTCTTTCATACAGTATATTCATCAAGACAACGCAAGGAAACAAGATCAACGACATTCCATTCTTTCTCCCAGTTTAAGCATTTTAGCAGTAAACAATTCATTGGCCTGGCATGAAGGGAGGGGTCCATGGTTAAACTGTTTAATAATTAGTACAGAGTGTTTCACACACATTAGCGCATACGGTATGCAAAAACACATGCTCAAACTCTGTTTAATGCCTGCTTTGAAAATAACTTAATTCATGTTTATTTATATGGCGCTTTTATAATGTAGATTGTGTCAAAGCAGCTTAACATACATGTTCTAGTAAAATGAAACTGTATCAGTCCAGTTTTCCGAGTTGAAGTTCAGTTTAGTTCAGTTCAGTGTGGTTTAAATTTCAAATCTAGCAATGCGCAGCTCCACAAGTTCCAAACCAAGCGAGTCAGAGGCGACAGTGGCGAGGAACCAAATCTCACCAATAAAAGAACACTCATGCTTTTTAAAGACAAATACAGCAATACTAATAAATCCCAATTTACTGCTTCCAAGATAAAGGTGTAAACAGCTTTATTTGAGCTCAGCAACACACCTAGATACAGTACAGACAAACAGCCAATCTTAGGTGATATGCTTTCATGCTATCAATCATGGCTATTAAATCATGAGTTATTACCATATAAGGCCTATTATTGCTAGTCACAGGTCGAAAGGGCATTTGCCGTTCTGGCTAGGAATGTGTAACTGACAGCGAACAAAAAGTGCAATGGCATCATTTACAAAACAAAAGCTATTATTATGTGCGGTATTTAGTGAAATCAAATTTTCATAAAACATTTACTAATGAAGTATTTATATCCACTGTATTATGAACTGAATTTGAAACCAAACTTAAATATGAACTGATAATTTAAGTTAAAAATAAGTTTTTCCTGCAGATGCCATGAAAAAACATTTTCCCAAGAGAACTTTTTATTTTTATTTTTATTGTAAACAAGTTTTGTGGAATGTAAAATATCTTTAGATGCCAAAGGTTCAACATGGGAACAAGCTTTTTTGGTTCCTGAAAAAAATCTTCTAGTGAACAGTTATTTAAAGTAACATTCAATTATCAGTGTACAGAACATTTTATTTTTGAATATTTATTTATTGAGTTTTTGCATTTACAAAAGCAGTACATTACCCCTCCCCTACCACAAACATGACACTGTTTATGGTAGAAAGAAAAGAAAAAAACATAATAAAAATAAAATATATGCATTGTTCCAGACTTTGAGTTGACAGTGAGGAAACAGAGTGTACCATATTTGTACCATATTTGTTCAGACTATATGTTATCATTTACCATGAGAGGCTTGGCAACATTAAAATAATATTAATAATAAATAATAATATTATTAATAATAATAATAATTATTATTATTATAATAAAGAATTATACAAAAGGTGCATCTTAATATAAAAACAACCCAGGTCATCTCATCTTGAATCACAAAACCTTCCAGATTTATCAAAGTTAATGGTGAGGGAATACATTATATCATATTTGTATAGTAAATATGTTATCATTTGACATGAAGGGCTTGGAAACATCCGAAGAGTACAAAATAGAAATAACATATAAATAAATGAAAAAAAAATGAACAAAAATTAAATTAAATTAAATTACAATAAATTAAATTAAATTAAATTAAATTAAATTAATGAATTCTAAAGGCCAGGGAGTTCTTCAAAGTATTTAATAAACGGGGACCTGTACAGAAAATTTTAATGGTATAATAAACATTTTCTACTTTAAAGAACTTTGTGTAATTGAAACGTTCATGGATGTAAATAGTTCCTCACGCAGGCATCAATACCAATAAAGAATTTTCAGTAAACATAAAGGGATACAACAATTAAGCATGGGCCAGTATAAGTTTCTGACGGTATGATAACCTTGGAAAAAAATACCATGACGGTATTGTGATTACTGCTCTAAAATAAAAATTAAAAAGTTATTTTTTAAATGTCTGGGTGAAAAAAAATTTGTCCCCATTGAACACAAAATATTTTTTTTTAAGAAAAATTTATAATATTTTGGTATAGTAAATATGTCAGGCTATTATTATTATTATTATTATTATTATTATTATTATTATTAAAGCATTGATTTCTGCTCTCCTTTTTAGTTTCAAAAAGATTTCTTTACAAAAAATAAAAATACATTAAAAAAACTTACATATACCTTGGGAACGGTGTAACAGAACATTTTAGTGGCATTAAAACCTTGACTTTTTTCCAAACTGCGGTAAACCTTGTAAACAGTTATTGTCCAATGCCTAACAACAATATTCACTCTTCTGAATATTCTTCATTGACATTGATAGTTCCATTTTTAACTTTTAGCTTTAAATAGTTCTTTAGTTTATTAAAATATTTATTGAAAAACAAGGTTCACTACGCAAAACAAATGATTCTTCCATGGCATCACTTTAAATGACACAATATTGACACCTTTATTTTTTTAATTTCTGGCTAACAAACATAAGCCGATAATAACTTTTATTACAGTCGATAATTATTTCTATTGAGTAACTGATAATTGGCTGACTAAAGTTTTATATATTTTTTTCTAAAAAGGAGTCAAACACTAAAATATTTTAAAGTGTAAAACTAAAAGCATTTGTTGTAAATGGAAGTAATCACAAAAAAACTAGACAATAATGTTTAGATTTGCTAAAGATTACATTGCAACAGTTCAATAATCTATGAGCAGACAATCCAAATATGTTAGCATTATACTATATATTTATTTTTAAGCATGACAAAGTGAAAAACACTCTCACACTCACAAGTTTGTTGTCGCTTGTAATTTTTTTTCCTCTGCTGTGTCTTTTTTATTTCTTCTGGTGGGAAGCTTGATAGAGATGGTGGAGGTGAATCTGGTAGATTCCCTCTGTTCTTTGGATGTATTCTTGGATCCAAACAGTAATATCTGCTTGATTTGCAAATCTGATCAGCGAAAGAAAAAAAAAACAAACAGAAGTGTTAAAAAGAACACAACTCAACATGGCAGAAAATGCTTGTCAATAAAATGATCAAATATTTATGAATTTATAATGATCTGTTTATGTGCAAGATTACAATCACACCTCTGCTGCTTTTCTGCTGCCCTTTTAACTGCAACGGTGGTGGAGATGAAGTAGTTCTTGTCTCTAAATCCTCCTTGTTGTGGTTATGTTGAGAAGCTGCAGCAGGATTTAATTTCTCTTGCTTACTGACATTCTGAAAACTAACAAAGCCTTGGCATTACAATACAATACACCGACAGCAGTCTCTTTCTCTTTGCAGACGCATGAAATCCACATGTCTGCAACTATTTAGTTAAACCGTGAAGTTCAAGGTTCACTCCCTTCAGAAAAATTCTTTACAATAACACCCAGCACATGCCTCCAACAGGGACATTTCATGTTTGTGCTCACGCCTCCACAAGAAAATGATCAACAGATCAGCCTAGTGGACAGCTTTGGCCAAATTACCACTTAGTGAAATGATTTTTTTTTTTTTAAGGAATGACCTAATGAGACCAAATGGGTGTAACAAATTGCATAAGAGCTTAAGTATTACCATAAACATGGTGAGACATGTTAAGCAGACATTCAGCAGAAGAGTAATGACAACTCATTATGTCATAGAGGTGTAATTAAAATCATCTCATTAAACTGAGATGTAGTCAAGCAAACATGTTGGTAAATATATATATATATATATATATATATATATATATATATATATATATTTACATTTTTGATTGTTTAAAAGAGCACTTCTCTGTGCAGGCAACATGTATTATATAACTGGGGTATATAACTGGGGTGGTGCTATACAAAAAAAAAATCAATGCTTGAATTATTGTTCAATTCACTGACATTGTTATTATTCTTTGATTTTAGGAAATTCAATTGCTGTGACTGATGCACCTAACTGTCAGCAAATTAATATTTACGAAAACTAGAACTACGTAAGAACTTCAACCTGTCCTCTTAAAGCTACAGGCTTTCTTGGGTTAAAGTTCAGTTTAAGAGAAATGAAAGTAAGAAAAGTAGAGTTTGAGAAATAGAAAGTATCCTCACAGCGTAAGCGAGTACTTATAAACTTTGTAGCCTACCGTGTTTTGTCAGTGTGTGTGTAAAATCTCTCCTGATCTGAGACAACGCGAGTCACGCTGGCTTTCACTCCGCTTTGACAACTTGACTGCTGCACCTTCGCATCATGTTTTGACATTATAGGCTGACTGTAGCTGGCGCATCTAGTTCGGTTACCTCCCTTTATACCCTCCGGGCATCAGCTGTACACTTAAGTACCCTCACAGAGCCACGACTGTAAATTCCAGCGGAGAAACGGTGTGGGACAGCCGTCATTCTCAACAGAGTCTGGCAGCCGCAGCCCGTCATGTGTTTCTTTCCCACCGAGGCGTGTGTGTGTGTGTGTTATGCAGAGCAGAGCTGCGGAAGTGCGGGAACGCGCTTGTGTTTTGGTAACAAACTCTGTACTTTAAAATGGCGAGTGTATTACAGGACATATAGAAATTCTATGCCAAGACAACGTTTGCGTTTTATTTATTATTTTTGTATGTCATGCGAACTTGTGATATTTGGACTTCTTCCAAAAGAGAAAGTGTTTCAGTCATATATAAAATATAAGTATTACCTATGATGATAGCAACAGAGAATAAACAAGCCGTGTTTTATTTATATAAATAAAATATATTTGTGCGGGTGATAGTAAACAAAAGCAGGCCTACGTATTATCAATGCGAATCGGTTCTTCATAAAAGTTCACTCTAAAGAACCGATTCAGTGATTCATTTGCGTCACACAGAAGCACCTTCTGGTTTACTCTCATTAAAGGCTACAATAAATCCACATATGACTTTTTATTACTATTTTAAATTAATAAAATTGGTTGTTTTTGGGTTTATGCAATTTGTTACACAGTTATGATTTTGGAAAGTCAGCTTGTGTTCAGATAAAGAAAAAAGTGACCTACATCTTAGATGGCCTGAGGGTGAGTCAGCAATTAAATAACACAAACCATCCCTTGCTAAAACAAATCCTGCTTTGATTTTAGTCTGATTCATAAAGTCGTAGTCATATAACCAATCTTGGAAATGATTCCACTAAAAACATTAGTTTCTGAATCACACCCATAACCATAATGAATAGTTTTGAACAGTAAAGTTTTGTAGGTTATTCATGGTTTTGCCGTTTTATTTTCCATTTGCATTGGCACAATCTTACTACAAAATATCATGATTTATGGTTAGTGTGGCAAAAGCATGGTTAATGGTTTTCACTGACTACCCCACATAGCAAAATTTCTCTGGCCCAGCTCTGGCCCACACAATCAGGTTTTGCTTGGCCCACATGCCGCAGTGAATTACGGTACATGACTGGACCAAATCTGGCTTCCAGACAAGGGCCAAACACAGACCATATCTGGGCCAAGTCTCAGCCAAGTTAATAACTCATAACTGGGCCTGAACTGGGCCAGAGAGGTTGGTGTGTCACGATTGCAATGAAATTGATAAACCCATGGAGTGATGCGCTTTAGGCACACTATGGGCATGCTTTTTCTCAAAGTGACCTGATTGGTAGAATTTTTTTTCTTTATTTAAAAATGATTTTAGTGTATTTTAAATGTGGGTCAAGACTGGCCAAACTGACATGGCCCACTTATCAAATTTTTAAATCTGGGCCAAATACTACATTTTTCATCTGGCCCAAATCTTGTGTGCCGCCTTAAAAATGGTGCCACCTCTGCCAAACCCGGGCCATGTTTGGCCCACATGCTGTATGCCAGTGCCGGATGAATGCCTGCTGTGCCAGCTTTATGCCAAATCTGGGCCAGAATTCTTTGCTACTAGGGACGTTTACATGGACATCAATAATCTGATTTCAGTATGATTAATACAATACTCTGATTAAAAGTTGACCATGTAAACAGCGATTTTTGATTAATTTTATCCAATTAAGGTCATAATCGAACTAAACAGAAATCGGATTGAGACGTGGAGTATGGTGATTTTAGTCGCATTATTGAAATGCAGTACCTTCATGTAAACATCTTAATCAATCTATTACCGTTGTGTAGGATTTTCGCTGCACTTTGTGACAGGATACTCTATACACACACGGCTGTTTGACACTATTCTCTTCACCTACAAAGTCACTAAAGGACTACAGACTTTGGATCATGAAATGCTGATTTTTTATTTATTTTTTCCCGTAAGGCATGTGGTATCAAATTCCATTAAAACTACATTTTCCAGCAGTTCATACTCGCATCTAATATCTCGTTTGTCACGGCGGGCATGCATGAAATATTCCTGAATGAAAGTAAAAAATGCCAAACTGCAGTTAAAGTTGACAAATTAAAATGAACACCTGATATGATAAGAAATTTGGAAACATGGATAGCGCGATGACTTTGATTTATGTGTTATAACATTTAAAACAGGATCACGAAAGGAACATTAAAAAAGCAACTCATGTAAACAGTTTAATCATATTATTGTCTTATTCATATTAAGGCAAATCATTTGATTACTGATGTCCATGTAAACGTAGTCACTGTTTAAGCAAAAAGTTTCAAATGGTAGCTACAATCAACATTATAACAAATGTGTCTGTGAGATTCCAGCAAACCTTAAAAGTTTTAAATAGGGGATATCAAAAATACTCCTCTCAGCCTTAATAAGACTGAATAAAATGGAAAGGAAAATCAATCGTAATTACGATTTTTTTGTCAGTAATCAAGACTGATTGTTGGATAGGCTTTCTGCCTATTCGGCAAAGATTAATAGGCCAAGTTCTGGATTCCTAATTATTTTATGTAGAAATACTAGGCCATCAATTAGACTCATTAGCTCCATTGGCCAAAGGCAAGACGCCCGACTGCAGTGTTGCATTGCTTAGGGGTATGCTATGCAGATACACATATTGACATGGGTAAAAATAATTGCAGTGGGCTAAATGTGATGTCTATTTCCAGAAAAAGCCACCGTGAGTATAAATCTTATCATGGAGTGATGCTTATCTTCATCCATTATACAAATGCAATTTAATTCTGTAATAAAATCCAAACAGTTTTAATTAACTCTGCTGATTAAAACAGAAACCAATATAGTGCATAAGGGCATAACTTGTATGATAAATTCATCTTTCTCCTAATGTCCCTCAGCTTTTTGGCCCGAGCTCATGATGCTTCTTGTACAGTCGGTTAGTTGGAGGGGGTTACATATTTCATGCATGGCTTGTCATCTGCAGTATAAATCATCCACCAGTGCTGGAAAATGCATTATCTCCTGGGGAGATTATGACAAGGCCAATTCATAACTGTGAATTGATTTTCTTAAATGCTGCCTGCAATATGGCAGTGCATTCAGAGCATGTATTACGGTGGTTAGTGTAATCAAGGGTTTATGTTCTTAAAATAGCAATCACAAAATATAATCAGCAAATCAGAAAGACCTCAGTGTATTGAATAAAACCTATTTTGCCAGGTAATCAGTCATGCAGTGTTTGACAAAATGGGTTCACACAATACCACTCTACTGTGTGAATGTGGTGTGCATAATGGGTACATATTTTTGTATAATACATTACTATTAAAGGAGGTTAATAAGGAGGTATATAATCATTCCATTAAATAAAAACTACATTCATAATATATACAACAAGTAACGTTTGAAATAACAGAATATTTCTAATATACTAAAATAACTAAAATTAAGGCAGCACGGTGGCTCAGTGGTTAGCACTGTCGCCTCACAGCAAGAAAGTCACTGGTTTGAGTCCCGACTGAGCCAGTTGGTGTTTCTGCCGACTGAGCCTGTTGGTGTTTCCTCCGGGTGCTTCGGTTTCCCTCACAGTCTAAACACAAGCGCTATAGGTAAATTGAATAAGCTAAATTGTCCGTTGTGTATGAGTGTGTGTGAATGTGAGAGTGTATGGGTGTTTCCTAGTACTGGGTTGCAGCTGGAAGGGCATCTGCTGTGTAAAACAAATGCTAAAATAGTTGGCGGTTCATTCCACTGTGGCGACCCCTAGCTGATAAATAAGGGACTAAGATGAAGGAAAATGAATGAATGAATGAATGAATGAGTATTACTATTAACATAGGGCTTAGTGGCCACATGCGTGAACAGGACATTTAGTCCTTATGTCCTATGTCTTATGTTTTACATTTTGTTACAGACGTACAGTGTCATCCTGCAACTTTTTTGCAGCATATGAAATGTTCCAAACACCATTTTATCTGTCCAAAATGGCCAACAATTTTGTTTTTACTGATAGTCAAAACATGTTTAAAATATGTGTGTATGTGTTATTAATGCTTTAAAAACAGTTAGGAAAAAAACTGCTGTGTTCAAGGCAGAAATAAAGAGTTTTTCATTCTATTAGACAAAGGTGACTTTTTTGTGTTTTATGGAAATTCGGACCACGAGTCCACAAATATGGACATCATTTTTCTCCTAAAGTACACCATATCAAAATATGATACTTAGGTTTTATTCTAATTAGGAGATTAATAAGGGGGTATCATTCCATTAAATAAAAACTATATTCATAAATGTATGCAAATCTAGAAAAATGTATTACAAAACCCTTCAGTTGAAAACTGATAAATTTTATAACAAAAATATTTTAAAACAAGTAACATTTAAAATTTAGCCGAATTAAATATAATATAAAAATGTAATATATTTAAAAATATATTTAAAATGTATTTTATTTTCCACTAGTTGCCAAGGAAATATTTCTTATATACTAAAATAACTAATACTAAAATAAAAAGTAATAAAACTGAATAGACACTAACAAAAAAAAACTAACAAAAATTGCAAAACAAAATAAAATTGTGTAATAAAATAAAATGCATTCATGCAAAACAGATCAATATGCAGTCAAATAATTGTTGCTAAACTAAAACCATAAATCCATTTTTTTTAATATTAAAATAAACTAATTAAGAATACAACACAATAAAATGACCAAATTTGTAAAACTAAAAACCAAACAAACTAAATTGTTTTTAAAAAGGCAGTATATGTGAAATAAAGTTAAAAACTGTATAAACATTTAATAGGGTGGCGCCACTATGCTCTCTCAGAAATAAAGGTATGCAAGCTGTCACTGGGGTGATACCGTTTCATAAGAGCCAAATTTATACCTCAAGGGTACATATAAGTACCTAAACAGTCCAAAAAAATTTTTTTTTAATATTAAATAAAAATTTGTGGGTTTTAATATATACTTTTGAGGTACCAATATGGACCCTTTTAGTACAAATGTGGACCTTTTGAAAAGGTACCACCCTAGTGACAGCTCACGTACCTTTAGTTCTGAGAGTGTGATGCAGAGGGTAGCAAGATCGCGTCACAGCAAGAGGATCACTGACTCAAGCCTCAACTGGATCACTTGGCATTTCTGCATTTTCTTGCATAAACATCTATTAATGCAAAACT